GTTGAGCGATCTCGTTCGAGGACGCTGCGGGTCTGTTCACATCGCGTGGTGGAGGGCGTCTAGGTCGGCGCAGCGCCTCGCAGCCATGTCGCACACGCACTGACGGACGCTCGACGCCGGGACGCCGTCTTCGGCCGGACTCGGTCCACCCTCTCGGCAAGCGTCGGGACGCCTCTGGCTGGGCGCCAGCGGCCGAGCTGCTCGACGCCTCGACCCGACGCCGCCACGCGGCGCTCTCGTTTCGACTACGAATTTCGTTGGATTCATCTGACGACTCTTCTACCCCTCGATCCACCTGAGATTTTAGGGGATGTTCCGATTCGTGTTTCAAAATATACATCTTCCTTCCTTGATGTCGGTTAAGTCCAATCCAATTAGACTGATAGGAATGTAACTGTTTTACGATATACTTTCAATTATCAATTACAAGTCATCATGGTTGGTTTAGATAGAATTTCACGTTAACCTCTGATTACATCTTAGCCAACCCTGTCCGATGTTCTATATAAATATCGACAAGAATTCCCGACCTAACCATTCGGTGCGTATACATCTGTTTTATTCCCACCCCTGCCCGAACCGGCAGCATCGAATTAGCATTAAAGATTCATGGATGCCGGAGGCGAGGATTCCTCTAGGACCACAGGCCACGCGTTTTGCAAAACCGAAGCCTGTTGTGCCCACTGATTTACGCGTGACAATGACGTCCAGCTGTGCAGCCCGTGCCAAAAGCGACTCCAGCCGCGCAAAACATTCCTCGAAACCCGGTTCGCGACGATTAGGCGAACGGTCGTTAAAGTCCGCTCGTATAACACCGGCGTGATCGCCGATGTGGCGCACCGGAGGGAGCGTTCCGCCTAGGAAACAAGGTGGAGAACGCTAGGTAGCCGGCAAGGGGCGAAACGAGGAGAAGGGGGCAAGGTGGCGATAGCGAGCGCCGAGTAGGCGTTCATCTCTCCGTTTATCTCACGCCCGGTGACGTCACCGGTCCGGCATAAAGGAGACTCTAAAAGCGAACAGATGGCCTTTATAGTTTTACCATAGACCGTGCCGGCCGACGTTCACCTACGGAATCGCGAGACGCAGACGCCATTACGGTGCGTCTGGCCGGGGGAAGAAGAATACGAAAACATCGGTGTCGGGTCCACTCCCGTGCTAAATGGAGTTGCGTAACTGGGTAGGGAAGGGACAGAGGTTGTCCGACGATGAAAGCTTCGAATGATTTTTTAATCGATCCTCTCACGTTCCATCGCGAGAGGTAATTTTAGAATTCTCGTTTATTCTGGGAAAATAGGACACCTGTAAATAATTAATTGGAAGGTTTGAAGTTGAAAAATGAAACTAACGCTACTGACGATCGAACGGTCTTCGTAATCGCGATAGTTCATTAAACTCAGCGTATCGTCTTTCCCAGCGCGAAGTTCCAACAACTCGTCGGACTTTACTAAAAGAACGTCCGCAAGAGGAAGACCCGAATAACCCGATCCCCGAATAAAGAAAACAAGGGTGCAACACTGAAAGCGATCAGTATCAGTCACGCAGTTAAACAATCGCGGCGACAGCGTCCCAGCAATTCGTCCAACGAGCGTTCAGTAGCAACCGTCCCGCAATAAAATAGCCAGTTAACCAAGGGTTCGCGACAATCATCGTGAAAATTTATGGCGGTACTTCACGGAAACTTCAAAGCTTCATCGCGCGGGGCCAGCGGAGTGTCCCGGCGACGAAACGAGCCGGTGCGCACCGCTGTTAAAGGCTCCATGTTTATACCGACACGGTCGCCCAGTCCTGATCGCAAATTTCGCGGGCGTAACGCACGCCTCGCGCGCGTACGGTTAAGTGCGATCGTTAAAAACGGGGGTACGTCTCGTAACCGATGCGCGGACGGGGCTTTTTCCAGCAGCGTCGCTTCTTACGAGCGGCGAGCCCGTTGAAATGAAAAGGCGCGGAGCATTTTTATCGCGCCGCCTAACGAACAAGAGAGAAACGAAGGCAGGGAGTAGTATGGGGTTGTGCAGAGGACCGCCGAGAAAGTAACGAAAGTACGTTTTATTGAGTTTCTGGCTGGCAGCGGCCCGTGCAAGAACGTACCTTACAAGTTAATAAATTCCCGGCTTTTCCCAGTGGACGTCCGCACGGCTCCGTGTGCCCGAAACAATCCCTCCGTCGTCGGTTTTACGGCGACGCGCGGGTTTCTCCTGGAACAAACGGCGAACAATCGGTGTGAGCAGGTTTAATCAAGATTTCATGTGTTTCTAATAGGTATCTTGAAGATCCATATGAAATTAGAGACTTTTGTACATTCCTAGACGCGGTCTGTCTTCGACCAGCTTTGCAAAGGCTTCATCCGGTTTCTCAGCTTTCAGGACTTTGTTTCGATTGTCGATTATTCGTACTGAAATTGAATTTTATTTCGAAAGGACTGATAAGGAGAGGTTATTTATAGGAATGCGTTTAAGATAATTGATGAGCGGAGATTAGAATAGATTTAGACGATATAATAGCCAATGAATTCGTAATAAATGTCCGCTGTCCGAGGATTAAAAAGATACTTCGTTAAACGGTCCAAGAAAATTCACTGTTTACGTAACCTATACCGCGCACGTTGGACGACGGTTTTTTCCGCGATTTTACGAGCGGCTTTATTGACAGATTATCCGGCGACGATAGATTTCTAAATGGCACAATAGAATGGTTTCGGTCGCGGCTCGAGCGGAGCCGGTGCGTTCTCAATCCCGGCAAGGACAGAAGTCGCGTCGAATTAACTGCGTAAGGTAACCAGTGCGAGAAGCATTGCCTAATGGCAACTACCGAACGACCTAGAACGGCCTTCGCCGGCTGCAACTACGCAATGGCCGACCAACCGCGACGTAGAAGGCGGTCGCTACTTAAAACGATGCCAATCCTCCTGCTTTATTTTTTATTGGCCGCCGCGGACGCTGTGAGAAAAACGCTCTCGCCGTGGAAAACGAGACGCGGCCAGGATTTACGACACTTTGCGACAAAGTCTTGCCACGGGATCCGCGAAAATTCCACGGACGTTCCTGACGGCGACCCTTTCATCGGTGACACGCTTGAAATCGACGGATCTTCTGGGAAGCTGAACCGAGACGAACGTCGGATCTATCTTAAGATTTAATAATATCGAAAATAACCAAGAAACCGTGGGAACTCGTTTCGAAAATAATTATGCCACGACTTTCGCAGGAACAGATCGATTTTCAAGGGATCGAACTACGCATCGAATTACACTGGACAGTTTATAGAAGAAGAGTCCTCTCCTCCCCATTGATTTAGTTGATAGGATCGTGCAGTTTTTCTAACATTCCTAAAAGATCGATGGGAGGAGAGCACACTTGACACCGTAATTACACCCTCGATATTCAATTCCGCGTAATAATATCCTCAATCTCGCCCATGTATCTCGCAAGAAAGAAGCGCCGATATTCCTATCGACAATTTCCTCATAACGTACAGAGTACACGGGTAAATCGAATGGAACATCCTGCACGGTGATTAAAATAAGTGCAACCGCCAAAGCATAAATATTAATAACCCGTCCACCGCGTGCTCCTATCTCGCAGGCCGCAGATAAAGTTAACGCGGCAACGGGTATCGAACGTCAATACATAATTCCCTGCTCGCATGCTTTGTCAGTCGTCGAGATAAATGAAACATGCTGTATAACTTAAACAGTCCCGTGTTCGACACCGCGCGTCCCCTCTCGTCTCTTCCCCCCTCGCCGCGGGCCCGTTTTCTCGCGCCACTGTCAAGCCGAATCTCGGAACACGATTTCTGCATCATCCTGTATCCCTGTTAAACGCGAGTGGGGAGTGGGCAAACAACAACGCCGTGAGGAACAAGTGACGTAAATATGCGATAAATTTCGCTGAAAAGGGACCTGGTTCCCCGAAAAAACAGCACGCTTACGGTATAAATCGCGCCGCGGCCGGTTACAATACCAACAGCGCCTCGATTAATGTTTAACAAGGGTGTCCGAGTGAATTTCGCGGTCGGGATCGGAAGCGGGGGCCCGCCGCTCGTTTCTTTTCGCCCGAATGCAAAGGAGGGCCGAGAGAGCCTTAACCTAATTAAGGAAGACAAGACCAGCGTAAATCACGGTGCCCGAGGAGAAAGTGATGACGAGAGATAAAGGCGCGAGGAGAGCCACTCCGCTCTCCCGGGCGTTTATTTCTCTCCTGGACCTCCTTTTATTTTTCTCTTTCCGTCTTCTGCTTGCTCTTTTTCCCTGCGACTCGCCGAACACGTTAGATCCTACGCTGCGGCTTCAGGGTCTCGAGGATTCACAGTTTTCGGAGATCGCGGAAGAGGAACCTTGTTTAATCGTTGTTCGGATGACGATTGATACGATCTAGTAGGGTTTATTCGAAAACTTGAGTGTCTTTGGAAATTGAATAAAAGAGTTGTTGATTCTTTTGTGGATTTGGTTTGTAAAACGCGCAAGCTCTGTTTTGGAAGTGTTATTCGTTTTCTTTGGAAGGAAGGTTTAGGAACCAAGGAAATCAAAAATAGTGTTTTAATAGGATGTCTTTCTTATTAAACAACGATCTCCATTTTTAGAGGAACTGAAGTAAGCAGAGGAAATCGAGCGTCAAGATAATGCGGATATTACTTTGTACTAAAGTCTCTAAAGAAGACTGGACAACGTTAACGATCTTGTTGAGTGTCGCCAGAAATCATGAAACGCTCCGTGAAAATCTCAGTGACTCACAGCATTGTACTTCTCAAAGATTGTAGGTACTCCACATATAGTTCTGCAAGGCGAAATCTTATAAATCCCGCGAGGGTCTAAGTAACACAAAGATCGCAAATTTAGGCAATAGACGGTCGCGGCGAACGACTAGTAGTCGGACATAACTCCTTCAGTTGAACGGCCAGTAAATTCGCCGAGGTCAAACACTGAATACAAAGTTTCCCCTCTGTGAAGTTAAGGAATAGGTCTGGCTGTCTCCATTTCTCGCCAATGCCTTTCATTCCTCGAATTCGCCCGCCTTAATCTTGCGCCGAGCGAACATGAACGCGCCACTAACCCATACGCCCGCACATGCACGCGCGTTTACTGCCATCCGCGAGCGCTGAAGTACTCGGCGGAGTCTAATCAGCGCGTTTTCACTACCTCTACAGCGGAAATATCTTGTACGAACCCGACGCTGCACCGCGACTTTGAGAGTCAGGTATTACTCATTCCACAGAGACACGCGAAAAAGAAACCTCAAAGTTTTCGTATTTCTGTTTCCTCTTTTTTCCTTCGATTCTATCACAATCGAACGCAATTAACATTCCGATTATTTTAACACTCCGAACACGAAGGTAGATACATCAAAGAACACCTCGAAACGATCTTTTCGAACGTTTACCTTCGTACAATCTTCGACGATTGCACATCTAAGAACACGGGTTGTCATTTCGATAATATAATAGTAATTGAACACACCAAGGCGATACAAACGAAATAACCTGCCTCTGCTAATAAGATCTCATTGAAATACTCCGAATGCCCCATATTTTCCGGTAAAGATATAAACGTCTCGGATTACCGTCTAATTAATACTGTTTCATTGGAATAATCCACGTGCTCCACATTTTCTGGAGAGGCCGTAAGCGTCCAAATACTTGCGGACGGCGGTGCACGTACACGAGCCGCGCCGAACTGGGTCATAGTAGCACTCGTTAAACCTACGTACTCTCACCTCTGCTCGGTGCATAAATCTGCGCGTAGAAACGCACGTGCACCTTAGGGCGGGTACACACCTGGACGGTTCGCAGCGGGGACGGGTGAGTTCGCCGCGTCCCCGAGTTGGCGTGCTCGCAACGAATCGCTCGGCGTCCGTTCCCTGAACGCGTTACTCCGTCGACCTCTCAGCCACATATTTCTGCTTCGTTCGAGATTGCAACACTGTGCCCGCGAAACCCTCCGCAAGGTGCGCGTAGGAAGCCTAAAAGGGAAACGCGTGTACCCCGCTTTCTATCGCGCGAATGGTCAACCTTAACCCCTTGCCCTATGATTCCTTTGTAAACTGTGATCGATCTAACTACTTTGTTCTTAACAATTTATTGACGAGAAAATTCCAGTCTTCTATGCCAACGTGTGCGCTAAAGTATAATCATTGATAACAGAGGAACAACATGTAATTTGTATTCAAACAAATTGAATAATGTTTATGTTTGTTCAATGCCACTTGAAATTTTCACGAGTCTGACACCATATTGTAGGTGTTAACACTACATCTACCGGATGGCTCAGAATTACCGATTCCTGATTTCTTCCTTTTGCAATTATTAAAAAGACAACACGTATTTCTTTGAGAAATTGTTCAAGAAATTGATTTAGCAATACATACACTGAATTTGTAAATCAATTCAAGTCTCGATAGGTGTAATCTTGAAGTTGATACAGAGGAATTTCAGAAAGTCAATTAATTCATGGCGTTACTGAAGAAGATATCGAGCTATTCACTGTTTACATCAGCGTGGAGCTTTTTTATGAACCCTCCGAGCAATGTTATCAACAACTCCGAGTCATTTTTACTATATCAGCTACCCCAGGAGTATTAACAATGTTGCAATGTTAACAAATAACGAGAGAAATATAAAAGAATCAAGATAATCGCGAAGATACTAGAGAAGGTATAAGAGAAGATATCTATAGCGACCGTTGCTCTTCGAAATCTTCAAAGCCGTCAGTGCCCCCAATATCATCCTCATCAACTAAAAACCGAATAAATCAGAACAGACGAACACGTTCGCCAAACGGCAACCTAATCCAAGACTTCCCCGAACCGGAGATCCCGCCGATCCGCGCGCTCCGTTTTTACGACAAACCGCGTATCCGCGAACTTCGATTAACGCAGGGGAAAAAACAAGCGCGGCGTCCCAGAAACGGAGTGCCTAAGAAAAGAAACGATATCCGAGAAACAAGCGGGCGACCCAAACAGAAGATAAATATACAAGCATCCGAGAATACCGCAATCGTATCGCGAATATTATTACATTCGCGATAAGTGACAGCGTTCGGGGGATCTCGCGACGCGCAACGACAGGCGAACCCGTTGCGCGCGCGTACACACGGAACATTTTCCTCGTTCCTCCGTCTCTCTCACCGCCAGTGGTCCCTCGACAGGACAGAAGAAGCAAAGGGCAACGTCTGAACACGCGTGTTACACGGATGTTCGCGCAA